CAAAATCATATAAAAATATTATACGTAGAATAAAAAAAAAGGCCAATTATTTAATTAAAGAATGATTAGTTATTTGGTATTAATTAATTATTGTTTTCTAGTACTTTAAAATTATTTATTTAAAAATAATTATGATGTTTAGTAAGAAAACATATTATTTAGCAAAATTAATCATTATAATTAGGCAGATTGTAGCACAGGATATAAATTAAGAACCCAAGTTTGACCCAAAAAAAATGCATTAATACCATTAAAACATAAGGCCCATTAATTCGATTTTCATTTTATTTATTTTTTTACTATATCTAATGTTTTTGTTATAACGGTTAATTAAATAATTTAATGTAAGTTTCAAATTTTAAATATGTTAAAAAAAAATGAACCCTGTAAATTAAATATAAAATTATTTTTTTAATATTAATGAAAAATAATTAAATTATTTTTTAGATTATGAAGCTGTTAAATATAAATATTATAAAATAATTTAATCCCTTAAAAAATCATTTTAAATATATACATACAAAATTGCATTCTCTATGTACTTAATTAGTTTGAAACTAAAATAAAAATAAATAAATATTGTGAAATTAATAATATTTTAAATATATTAATTATTTTTTTATACTTAAAAAATGGGTCTTATATATATATATATATATATATATGTAAGTTATTTTTCTTAACTTGCACTCTAAGATTAAAAAGAATAAAAAACAAGCAAAAACCTGCCATGAAATATCAATTCCTCCTAATATGTTACACATTCATTTTCACCCCAACCATTATTTATACAACATCTCATATCTCCTCTTCACCCACTACACCAAAACCAAAATCCCACCATTTCCCGTTTCTCATAAGCAAAATGAAGATCAACTGGTCATTTCTCATGATCCTGACAGTGGCAATCACAGTTTCAATGGTGGAAGTGAGAGGAGAAGATCAGTCTGATCAATCGAAGTCGAAGACAATTGTGAAGATAGTAAAGGGTAAGAAATTGTGCGACAAAGGATGGGAGTGTAAAGGATTCTCGGCTTATTGTTGTAATCATACAATATCGGATTATTTTCAAACGTACCAGTTTGAGAATCTGTTCTCTAAACGTAACACGCCTGTGGCTCACGCCGTTGGGTTTTGGGATTACCGTTCTTTCATCACTGCGGCTGCTCAATACCAACCTCTTGGTTTCGGAACTACCGGAGGGAAAATGCAGGGGATGAAGGAAGTTGCAGCTTTTCTTGGACACGTTGGCAGCAAAACCTCTTGTAAGTCTAAAAAAATCTACATTCACACGCACATGCATACAAACACACGTATACGTACATGTAGCGTTGTAAATTTCATCTGGGTTGTGATTGAGTTGGAGTAAGATTGTGGGAATTGATGTAAAGTTTTACCATGAATGGTGATTTTTTAGGTGGGTATGGAGTGGCAACAGGAGGACCTCTGGCTTGGGGTTTATGCTACAACAAGGAAATGAGTCCTAGTAAAGTATACTGTGATGACTACTATAAATTCACTTATCCTTGCACTCCCGATGTCTCGTATCACGGCCGCGGCGCCTTGCCTATTTACTGGTACCCTATTTTCTTCATTACGTAGTAATTTTAATTTATCAACTAAATTTGTTGTCTGTAACTTAATCTTTTAGAGCTTACGTTCACTTTTAAACAATAATCTAAAACCATGTTCGACCAGATCGCGACCAAATAAATCTCATGTTTCGCATTAAAAAACTATTCATAGTCTGTAAATATGTAAATTATAAACTTCATTAAACTTGTCTACGCTCACTATCGCGACCAAATTATAAAATTGGATTGAATTTGCTATTCATTCCGACCTAAATAGTGGATCTAGTCCGATTCTACAGTCCAATTTGAACACAGCAGTCTTTTTTTTTTTGTTTGTTAACTTGTCCTGACATTACAGGAACTACAACTATGGAGAAACCGGCGAGGCCTTGAAGGTGGACCTTCTGAACCACCCGGAGTACATAGAAAACAACGCGACCTTGGCGTTTCAGGCAGCGATATGGCGATGGATGACGCCGGTGAAGAAGCACATCCCCTCGGCGCACGACGTCTTCTTCGGTAACTGGAAGCCGAGCAAGAACGACACCTTGGCCAAGCGAGTTCCCGGCTTCGGAACCACCATGAACGTTCTGTACGGCGACCAGGTCTGCGGACAAGGCGAAAATGAATCCATGAACAACATGATCTCGCATTATCTTTACTATCTGGATTTGATGGGAGTCGGGAGAGAGGAGGCCGGGCCTCATGAAGCGCTTACTTGCGGTGAACAGGAAGCTTTCAGTCCTTCGTCATCGTCTTCTTCTTCGTCTTGAGATCAATAAATTTCTTTGAATCCGTGGGTTATGGAAAGTTGGAAATGGGTTACGAGGAAGAAGTTAATAAGGGGAAGGGAAAGAGTGTAAGGTTTTACGAATTATCGGTAAGCAAATTTATGTACATAAACACGTATATATGTGTGTGTGTGTGTAGATCCATTTGCATGTAAAGGGTGGCAGAATATTAACGTGATTTCTCATCCGCCCATTGCTATTCTGAAAATTTTTTTGAAACGACGTCGTTTGTTTTGGTTCTAAGATTTGTAATTAGTTGAAATTAATAAACTTTAATTGTAAGAAACTTCAGCTTGGAGTGCACGGGCTAAGCCGCCGAATATACACAGAGGTCGGCTTAATGCACGAGCGCCCACACAAAAGCATGACCAGTTAATTAATAATTAAACATCTGGAATATTTTTTAATCATTAATTAATTATTCAATTATTTAATAATTGAGCGACTAATATTGTTTGTCTAATCCCGAGCTTATGATTTTACGATTTTACCCTTGCTTGTGGCCACCCTTTCTAGATGTTCACAGACGACAAAGATAAGGTTAAAAGAGTCAAATTCGCTGCATTTTCTTTTTTGGTTTATTAATTATTTTAATTTTTAAATAAGGATTCCCAATAATAATTTTTTTTTTTATAAAGTCAATCACCAACCATATGATCCATGCCCAAGTTTCATAATTTAAAATTTAATAGTCACAAATTAAAATATCATTAATAATATATGATTTAATAATTTATAATATTTAATTTAATTAAATTAATGATTAAACTTATTAATATATTAATAATATTATATTTATTATATTTTTTAATAAAAAATATTATATTATAATTATAATAAAAAAATATTCTAAAACAAATTTATTTTTTTAATAATTATAATAATACCAAACAACAACACGAGATTATTCTTAAAAAAAGAATAATGGAGTGACAAGTAAGCCGTAAAAGGTAAGAGCATGGAATGCGACACCTCTTTTTTAAGCACAATTTTATACTTCGATATTTTATAATTAATCTTAATTTAAATGAATATACGATAATTAATCTTGATTAAGACCCTAATCAATCATGACCTAAAATAAATATAATAAGCCAAACCTACCTGAATTTGAGAAATATTCAACATTAGGAAATAAAATAAGTGCAACTTGTTGCAAAATGACAATAAGCCAAATTAGTAATGACTTTTTTTAAAAAAATAAAAATAGCTAAACAAAAATAGAGAGTAGGAAACTTCACGGTGGATAATGAATCCCATGTTCACGTACAACTATTCGCA